GCCCAATCTTTCTGGCAAGTGAGGCCAGGAGCAGCACCGTCTGGCCCCAGGCTGCGTTGATCTCAGGCCATGTCACTGGGGCTGTTGGCAACCGTCCTAGGCGCAGGTTGTTGATGGTGCCAAAGTGGCCTGAGTGCCAGATGTGGAAGGTGGTGTTGAATACATTGGTCTTCTTGAGCTTCTCCAGCTGGTTTTGTGTGTAGCTCAGCTGACTCTTCAAGCTGGTGGATGGATTGTGAACATGGTCAGCAAAAATGTAATCTTTGGAAAAACATAACATTACAATTTCTTTTTCTTCAAATAGGAGATTTCCTAGATCCGTTTCGTTACTATAAATGATTCTCTGATGTATGTTTTTTTTTCCATGAATATCCTTTTCTTAAAGTAGAGGAGCTAATGATATATCATTCAATCTACATATTTATATTGACAGTGAAAAATTAAAATTAACTTCATTCCTCAAATTCAATGGATTACAAAATAAATTAATCAATAACTAGATCAGTAAATCCTACTAAAGTATTGACAAAATAATCTTATCGTTCATCATTATCTACTTCCATAAATATAATAATCAAATCACTTTTACCCCCATCACCAAAATTCCTTTCTATCCCCAATACACTTCCACACACCTTCTATTCTCATCTTCCATGGCTGTGAGCTGAGACTTGTGTGTGCAGTATTCCCTCCAATATCTCTCCTCCTCGTCCTCCAATCGTGCTTTCTCCTCCTCATGTTTCTCTAGAACCTCTCTTGCGGCCTTCTGCTCAGCCTCCACCTCGGACAGCTCTGCAAGGAGTCTCTCTTCCTCGGCTTGGAGCTGTTGTGTTTTAGGGGTAAATAGATTTGAGAGATTCTTTGAGATATCTTGTTTGAAATTATAATTTACGTAAGGTAAATTTCTTTCTTTGTCTTTCTTAAATATATTTGAATTTATTTATTTTTTCTTTATAAGTGAGAAAAAGATTGGATTTTATTATTGCTTCTTTTCAGTATCTTGTATGAAACAATCTTATCTTTATAAAGTGAGGACAAGTATATAACAAAGGCCAAACTGCATCTAGATATGACAACACTTCTCTCATTCCCATAAACCTGTCAGAATAACAAAGCCCAATGTCAGTTTTTTTACTTACAATAACAATAATCTTAAAAGCATTCACTTGTAGTGATATGGAAAAAAAAAAAAAACATTATGGCTCTTATTGCTACAAGTATTGCTGGTACTCTTGCTACTTTCACTCTTACTACTCCAGTAAGTTACTATTATTATTATCAACATCAAAGAAAAAGAGTAACAGAAATGGCAGAAAGAATAAAGTAAGGAAAAGAAGGGAGATGCATAATAATATTAATAACAATAATAATAATAAGTGGAAAAAGAAAAGGCAAGGAAAAAAGGTCAAGGCCATTCATGTAGCTTACATTTTTCAATTCACTCTCCAATGCTGTTACATCCATATCTGGCATATCAGCAAGGGAATTGAGCAGTTGCTGTGACATCTGCGCTTGTCTCTGGGTGCGTGAGAGTGTGGTGTCCATGAGGTCAAGCAAGGCATCGGTGCATTCTTCACAAAGAGGGTGGTCAATGTCGCTATTTGAGCTGACCAGGTCATATAAACCAGTCGCTACCTGGGAATGCCAAGATTATGAGATCAGAAGCTATGGTTGAAGTTCAGCAGATCATATAAATGAAAAGCCAATGTTTGCCAAGAGATTCTTGAGATTTATTTGTGAGATGATCTCCAATTCTAACTGTAAACTAATAAAAATGATCATAATAATAGTAATAATAATAATAATAATAACAATTATAATAATCATAATAATAATAATAACAATTATAATTATAATGATAATAATAATAATAATAAAAACAAGAAAATTAATAACAATAATAATAACAACAATAACAAACAAGGGAAACCTATCCATGTGTAATCAATATATTACAAAGAAAATACCTTTAGGGGTTGTGACTTCTCTGTATCCCCAGACTCTCCTACTAAGGTGAATCCATGTGGGTGATGGCCGGAATCTGTCAACTGTAGTGGAGGTACTAATTTGTCTACTTCTGATGCATCAAATTCTGCTTCCTCACCAGGGAATATTGGCACTGTGGAATAAATTGACAGTCTTTCATATCAGGATAAATGCCATATCATTATTGTTCATTCAAATTCAAACTGAGCTTTACATTACTGATTGTATCATTATTGTTTCAACTACAACTGGTACTACTAATATTCCTTACATGCTAGTTCAGCAAGAATGTGTTCATTTAGATGGGAAAATCCAGGATCCAACTGGATTGGATGTAGGCAACGTTGGCAAACAAAGTTCACTGTCACTCTTGCATCCATGATTACTGGTTATAAGTGTCTAATAAACTCTGTGGAAGAAAATGTAAAAAATTAAATGCATACTTGTGCAATTGAAGCATGAAAATATGTCTGCACACCATATGTAAAAAATGCACAAGTACTTGTTTCCACAA